AGCTTTTCTGTGGCGGGTGGGCTCAGCATCTCCTCCTCCTTGCCTTTTCGGTGGCTATGCTACTTGCGGTTGAGGCCAAGGCACAAAAGTGTACACTGTTTCCATGGCAACGTTCCGGTGCAGCACCAACAGCCGCAGCCGCCTCCAGAAAAACAGCCGGAAACAACCTGGAGGCTTATGAAAATTGGATAAGAAGGTGGCTAAACGTGGACGGAGCCCAATGCCTGCTCCTGTCACCCCAAGTGGTGAGGTTTAAGCCTTATTTTAGATATTTCACCTGCAGGAGAAGAGGGAGGCACTGTTCTGCAAAGATGTCTTTTGTTATTGTTATTCTTCTTTTCTCCTGCTTTCCAGGAGACCTCTCGCTTTTCAGGTAGGGCTGAACCCCCTTTTTTTTTTCTTCCCTAAATTTCTGTCTGAGCCTCTGGAAAGATAAATCGATGGGTGCCTTTGTCTGCCACTTATTAAGCAATGTATTCTTCAACATGTCCCCAAAGCATTGAATAACAATGTAGAAACAGATTTGCTGAAGTGAAAATGAGTACATAAATAAAGAATGGTGATAATGATGATGATGATAAAGAACCTCAAAACTAACTGGACTTCAGCGTGTTCTAGCCAGAGCCAGTGATTTGTCTTTAGCAATTTCTGAGCAGGGCTCAAAAGGACATATTTTCTTTTAACGTCTTAATCCATGCTTAATTTTTCTTTCAAGAAATAGCAAGACTATAGCAAGACACCGTATCTCCACTGGTTTTCCCTCATAACCCTCTTTTTCCTTCTTACTTTAAAATATTCTTACCCTGCCTTTCTCCTTAAAGAGGATCCAAGGCAGCTTGCATCATTAAAAGACAATATTTAAAAACTGTATTATATGTCACAGATAACCCATTATTAGCAGAGGACACGCCTTCAGTGCTGATTGTCAGTAATTGTCACAGTAGGAGCTTTCCTCACCTCCTGGATTTTGCAAACTATTTAGTTTGCTTTGTTTTGTGATTGGTCTTTAGGAAAAACACATCTTCTTCACTTATTTTTGTAACATGCCAGTGTTGCCTCTTCATTCTTAGGGTAATCCTACGAATTAATAACCTCCAAAAGGAATGCTCAGGTCTTGCAAAGGTGGTATCTCTCAGCTTGATTCATTCAGTCTTGAGTGACTCTGTTAGGAGCCCAGGTTGTAACAGAACCTGGCTTCTTGAAGGCATTGTTCTTAGCTCCTCTTACACACTGAAACCCCTTTGCCACAATAATGTATGCACCCACAGGGGAGGTTCTTAACTTGCATATCCCTGAAACATTAATTACTGCGCTTTCAATTTGAGTGAAGACTAGAGATGGGCCCGAACCTGAAAAATGGTGGTTCATGATGCTTCGCGGTTGGTCACTAACCACGAACCACTACGAACCAATGGGAAAAACCAAACGACAAAACTGTGGTTCAGCTTTGGGTTTGTGGCCTGGTAGTGAGGGGTTCGTGCTCTGGTTGTGCCATCACCGCACTGCTCCGGTGCCACTGCCACCCCTGCCAAACTGGTGGGCTGGCACATGCTTAGAGACGCCAGGCCCAGCTTCCCGGAAGGGAAGCCTAGCCACTGCCTCTGAAGATGCCAACGGTGGAGAAGGAAGAGGAGGATGCGACAAGACGGGGTAGGGAGTCAACGGGGGCAACGGGGAGGAAAGGGGGGCATCTGTTTTGTTAAAACCACGGGTCGGATGGGAAAAAAAGTTTGTTGCTTCGTTTTGATTCGGCAGGATGGAATGCACGAACTCAACCGTGCGCCAAACTACGAACCGGCCTGGCTCATGGGTTTTTCCTGTTCGTAGTTCAGTTCATGTCCATCTCTAACGAAGACTCCTCTGTAGCATATCATGGACGTCCGGGTAGACCTGGAAATAGGCATGAATGGAGACTAGCAACTACCATAACGCTCCTGGCAAGGGAAGGCAAAATGGCAGCCGATGGGGATGGTGGTGCCTTTGGTAGAGTGGTCGTACTAATAGCAGCCACTGGATTTTTAGGCTTTTAAGCCTCCTGGGGCAGAGCTCTCGTCTTCTAATTCTTTGCAAAAGGCTACATAGTTGGGTGGTGCTATCCTACCTACCATGGCTATTGCTCCTTCTTCTCTCTTATAGTGAATTCAGATGATCAGTTCCAGCACAGAAGGTCACAGCTGGGCCATTAAGAATTAAGAACATTTAGGGAACACCCCCCCCAAAGACCATATGAGGATACTTTCTCAATACAGTGGACCCTCGACTTACAGATGGCTCGATTTACAGACTTTTCGAGTTACAGACTTCTCTGGCTGCAAAATTTAGGTTCGTCTTGCAGCCAGATAATCGACTTACAGACCAGAAAAAAAACCAAAATGGAACAAAAATGGAACAAAAACGGCCAGTTACGGGATTAATCGGTTTTCAATGCATTGTAGGTCAATGGAGACTCGACCTACAGACTTTTCGACCTGCAGCCACCATTCCAATACGGATTAATTCCGTAAGTAGATGGTCCACTGTAATCCTAGTAGGAAACTGAGCATGCTGAGTAGCTAGGTATCATTTGGAAAGGAAATATATGGATCCTGCAGCATTTCACACCCATCAGTGACCTTTCAGACCCCTTTTTTATATTCAGTTCCCTTCCCAGAAAGCACTGTTCTGTAAACAAGGACACAGTTTGGTAGCTAAATTAATACCAGGTTATGGATAACCATCGGAACAACATGGTAATGAATACATCTAATCAGTAATCGGGCTTGAAGTAGCACTGGTTAGTTAGTAAGGAAATATAGCTGGGAATTACAGTAGATGCAACATAATATTTTATATTTGATGATGGCTTAAGAGCCCTTGGATGTGGTGGCGCTGCAGATTAAACTGCAGAAGCCTCTGTGCTGCAAGGTCAGAAGACCAGCCGTTGTAAGATCAAATCCACATATTCAATATGTGTATTGAATATTGAATATTCAATATTGAGTATTGAGTATTGAATATTATATACACAGCCAATAAAGAAAAAAAGGAGATGGCAATACTCTCACTGGATGCTCTTAAGGCCTTTGACCGGGTGGAATGGAAATTCATGTTTGATCTGTTGGAAAAAATGA